GCTGATGATGGCGTCACCGGTGACCATTGCATTGTGGGACAGCTGGTTTTCCCGCGGCCTTCTCCGGTTTTTTTTATAGGTGGAGGCCTGGCCGGTGTAAACTACAACTCCCGGCAGGCTTCGGGCCCGCTCGCGCTCATGGGGCAGCATGGGAGTTGTAGGCTCCGCCCGCCCGCTGCACCACACCTGCTGGTCATAAGAATCCTCTGGTGGGCTTATGATTGTGATTCAGTATTTCTTGATAGGTGCCTAGGAATCTGTGCTTTTGACTTTCACTCCAGCGTCATCCTTGAACAATATAATGTGGAAAATAGTGGATTAGTGATATGTTACGATTCAAAAAATTGTGTGTCCCCCTTCTGATTTTAATCGTAATGCATACCCATTTTATAAAATCGAAGAATAACAGAAAAATGTGAAAAGTAGAATAAAAGTCGCCCTTAAGTCTCTCTTAATTCTTCAAAATATTAAATACTTTAAATATTGCTGGTAAGACACTGATATTGAGTATCTGGAATGTGCAGGCATGAAGCTGTATACTTTTAGTGAGAAACTGATGTGACTATTTTTGAGAAACCAGCTTCTACCTCAAGGCTTGTCCAGAGGAGAGGGCATAGGACTTCTTGTCCTTGGAAAAACCCACAGAACTGCTCCTAGGCACATTCCCACCCTGCTCAGTTGCTTAACTGGAGGGATCTGGGGTGTCAAGTGTCCCTGACTCAGTTGGGCTAGGTGAGGACCCATAGCAACCATCAATCAGCATGAGACAGGGAAAATATGGAAATGCCAGGTGACCCTCCCAGTAGTTTCAGTGATTGATAATGAAGCCAGATTTAAAATTAGGTAGTCAGTGTAGTTACGTAAATCGAGTCTAATATGGAGTGAAATCTAAAATGGAGGACATGTTGAGAATGAATTTCCGGAAAAGCTGAGGAATGTTGATGAAGCCCAGGAAACAGTCCCCAACAGATTTGGAGATAGCCCATCCCAAAGAAATGTTAATGAACAGCAAACTTGACAGCAAAAGTGCCCAGATTACTTCTTTGGCCCACCTGTGTCCCAACCCTTCCCACCTACATTCCATCACCAAAAACTATAAAAAGGGGAACACATTTGCCCTTCAGCAAGGGATTCCACCCTGTCCTTTAATAAACTTCTAATTTTCCACTCTGATCTTGCCTCAGCTGTGCTTCGCTGGTGTTATTTTTCAATATTGGGGAAGCAAGGACTCCTCACTGGTAACAATAACATGATTAGGCAACCCTGCAGTTTAGTGTATACATTCTTGCAACTCCTCCAGGCCTAATCCAATCAATTCAAATGTATCCACCACTTGAACTAACCAGTCACCTTTACCCAACTTGTTCCCGCCAGTGAATTTGCTAATCCATGTTAAGAGTTGTTGTTTGATTTTCCTGCGGTATGAAATGATTTGCTGTGTGATGTTGTGATACATAGAGTATCCCCCAAAAACCTATAAATCCTCACCGAACTAACGGTTGTAAGGGACCGGTGAAGCGTCGGAGGAAGAAACCACCAAGAGACCACTCATGCAATTGGCAGAAGGGGATTTATTGATCCACATGCTGGGGCTCCGTGCCCACTCAAGAAGGGAGAGCAGCCCAGAGCCCCGGGCAGGGGTTGAGCAGTGCTTAAGTACACTTTTTGGGGAGGGCAGGAACTTTACACACATCACAGTCTCCTTTAACAAATCACCATACGCTGCGGGAAGGGAAAATCAAACAACAATTCTTAGACTTGATTAGTACATTCATTGGTGGGAACAAAGAGGGCGGGGGTGATTGGTCACTCTTAAGCGGGGTACACATTCAAACTGATTGGTTTGGGCCTTGAATGCCTACGTGCCAGGCTACACAGGGTCCTAGGTTATTAAACAACCAGAGGGTCAGGGGGAATATGTACTGGGCAGTTCCGGGCATTGTCCTTACAGCTACAGGAATTTCAGGTTTTGGGTGTAGCAGAGGGATTTAACAATACCTGGTCCTTCACTTTTTAACTCAGGCCTTTCAGCTTAGAAACTTTACAATGCCCGGTCTTTTACACTTTAACTTCAATTTCTTTTACTCTTACAGGGTCAGGACTCACTCCTCAGGACTGCTGCTTCAGAAACGGTTGTGAGTCCAGGCTCAAGCTTGTGTGATTGCATCACATTTGGTTCCTGGAGGTCTATTGGGGTCCCACGAATCTGGCATTACATCAGCACACTGCTTCACAGGTATCCGAAAGGAGGTACTAGGTTTCTGGGTTTTTTCACAGATGCAGAAATAGAAGCTCAGGAGAGTTCCTTACCTGATAGACCCAACCTGATCTTTTATTTAAATTGGGAGCCATCTTGCCACAAAGCCATGAAAAGCTAATTTCGGCTTTACTATAAATTACTGCAAATTCTGAACCTGCTTGGAATGCCTGCCCATGCCTTGAACTCACCCATGCCTGGCTCTCTGACCAGATAGCAGCCCTCTCTGAAACTTTAGTGACACCTCATAAATATTGGCCTTCCCTGGCCAGACAACGACCCTCTCTGAGGCTCTAATGGTCCTCATAAATTCTGATGTTGGGGCCCAGCAAAAAAAAAAAAATTGTAAACTACCATTAGTGTGATGCTTGTCAGAGTTCTGTTATCCTTAACCCCGTTTGTGTAACTTTCTGGGCTATAAAGCTGGGCTGTAGGAAAGGTGGGGCTGCTGTCTTGTTCCTGCCATTTGGGGAGGAAAAGGCAGCCCAGCCGGTCAAAATAATAAGCTTGCTTTAATTTGATTTTAATTGGAGTCAGTGGTCTTTTCTTGCGTCCTGGTCTAACATTTTGGAGTTCCCCAGCGAGATGACCCTGCCCGACCAGACCACAAGACCAGACTGCTGGAAATTCTGAAGCCGGCCTTCGCTCCAGGGCTCGGGGCTGGAGAGCCACTCTAGGGGGTGCGCACCTTGAGACGTTCCAAGGCCTTGGGGTGAGCCTTCTGCCCCCGGAGCACTGCAGTGAACTGCCGCACTAAAACTATCAGCAAGCACCTAGTGGAGGAGGCCTCCACAGGTAAGTGGCGCCTTTATAACATCTGATTTCCGGTTAAGGGAGATCTCTTCTGATGACAGAGAGGTGGCCTGGCGAGGCTCACATATACTCCTGTCCGGACAGTAACGAGAAATCGTTCTGTCTTCTGTTCTGTTCTGTAGGGAATTCCTCTGGAAGGGTAGAGAGGTGCCGATGGGCACGCACGCACTCCTACCCCGGAGCTTTGGCAAGACGTTGCATTGCTCCTCTGTTTTTGTTTCGGCGCCGGGTTTCTGTTTTCTTGTGTTTTGTTCTGTGTTCTATATGGTTTTTTGTTTGTTTGTTTTTGTGCGTTTTGTTGTGTGATTTCTGTGGTAAAAACTTAAGGATATTGGACGTGAAAATGGGTAATAAAGCAAGTCAGCCTGACACCCCTTTGGACTGTGTTTTAAGGAACTGCGATGAACTTTACCCCCCTTTGTTAAGCAGGAGGAGAGAAGCCCCTGGCTGGCTGCTGGAGCACACCCACTGCAGAGGGCAATGCCTGCTGGGGATCTGAGTATCTCCCAGGTTAACAAGTGAGACTCCTTTAAAACCCCTTGTCCCTCCAGATCAAGAGAGTCACAACCTTTGGGCAGAATCCCCAGTGTTTCTCCTTTGTTAGCAAAGCAATAAACCTCCCTTTTTCTTTTTCTCAAAACCCTGTCCTCATTATTAAATTGGCATTAATTGGCTCTAAGGTCAGGAACCAAACTTTCAGTTACAAATTTTGATACCCCCCCACCCCCAGAACTTTTTGAGAACTGACTACTGAAATGTTAGCAGATGGAGCATGCCTGGGGTGGAACCGAACCAGAGGAGCTAATCCTGTAAGTAAAAGGAGGGACTGAGGGACTCCCAGCAGCTGCCAAAGCCCTGTTGCTTCGGGGAATTCCTGCCTTCCTTCCTTGCACTGTAAGGATTATGCCACCTCTGTCTTCTTAAAAAAAGAGAAAAAGAAAAAGGAGACACTTAATGCAGTAAAGTCG